TTTGCCGGTGAAAAACCGAGAGACGCCAGTATCTGAACAGTACTGGGGGAATAGTGTTAGACAACTAGACAACAGAAATTACCAAATCGTCTAGATTTTTGCAAATTTAACCAACGTAAAAACATTTTTATCAGGTGAGAGTTTGAGGATATATTTAGTAACGTTAGTTCTTACTTTTAATGTAAAAAAATGGCAATTTAAAAAAAAAAAATTTTATTATAGAAAATTCGTGACGTAGTCCCTTTAACGCGTTTTCATCGAGTTTGGACATTTTCATCGGTTAATTGTGTTTATTGTTTAGAAAATTCAAGCTACACTGTGGTAGATAAAGGCTGCTATTACACGGTTTACATCAGATGCCGTAAGGTCACATTACATCAAACAACATGCAGGAGGATTTGTAAAATAGTCCCAGTAATATCGGCACGCTTGGTTGTCTCGTGCGGCTGCAGGCGTATTCTTGGCTAATGATTGCTAGATGGAGATGTTGTGACGCAATTTAACTTTGTGAACCAAGGTTTAAAAATTGCAAACAAGTTAATTGCTTTTGTGGGTAACTCGGTGCTATCGGTCCATGAGTTAGACTCGCCTATATGACCGTAAGTCACTGACAACACACAATGCCTAGCGTTTAGTGCATATAAGCAATAAGCATACATTTGAATCACAGCATCTACCCTGGCACTGGGTTACGGTTTCATGAATCCAGTTTGAAACTCGTCATATCCGTAAAAATATATAGGAAGTCTATTCTGCTGTTTTCTAGCCAATATCTTCTGGGGAAATTAAATAGAATTGGTATAGTTAAAAAGTTATACATACACGATACATAATCACCTGTCGGTACTGCGATAAATCAAAATACGCCAAAACATATTCAGGAATAGAACCTTTTAAAACACAATAAACCATGTGGAGGCTGTGTAGAAATATAAACAGCGAATTTCTCTTACGGGATGTGTAACTAACGCCATTTTATATAGCGGTCGCTCTACATGTAAATTACTCGAACAGGACTCGACTCTTTTTATACAGAATTACTCTAGTCTGTAAAATAATAGCGCAGCGCCATCTAGAATTCAGTCGTGACACTTCTTGCGATGCGGTCTTGCGAGCCCACGCTTATGTCTAAACAAAACCCAAATTTCTCCTGGAAATCCATATCCCGTTTAATGCGTGCTAAACTTCCCGCGCGTTCTGATGCGTGCTAGCTTCCAGTAAAATATGGTTATGTAAGGAATAGTAAGAAAGTGGATTTCAAGAC